CAAATCGTGTTGATATAAGCGATAATGTGATAATCACATGATTATCACACCCATATCACATGATTATCACACCTATATCACACCCAAATTGTGTTGATATAAGCGATAATGTGATAATTGTGTGATAATCACATGATTATCACAMYCATATCACATGATTAACCGTTTATTAGATAATGATAATCATGATCGTGTGTAATCGTGTTAAAAGATTTTATGATATCATTTCCATCATTACCCTTTTATTTTTAATATTTTTGAATCTTTTTAAATTTCAATTTTAATTTTAAAAATCTTTTAATTTTAATTTTTATCACAATATGAGGTTATTGGGTTGTTCTCGCATTCTCGTAAATCACAGGGGTTCTCGTTTGAACCCTTCCCTATATATATATATATATATATATATATATATATATAGGTGGTTATTTTGCATGTAAACCCCCACTAATATATTAAAATGCATTTTTAAGTGTATTTGAGTGACCTTAGTGATTGCCAAATCGGCCCGGCCTGGTCCGGGACCGATAAGGACCGGTTATGGGACCAAAAACCGGGACCGGTTGGGGTTTTTGGTAGTTTCATGGGACCTGGACCGTTATGGGACCAGTTATGGACCGGACCGGCCCAAAAATTAAGATAATTTTATAAATAAATGTATTTTTAAATAATTTTATAATGTATTTTTTAAGACAACGTAATTTTAATGGTTCTTTGAAGTTTTATTGTTGATAATCCGCTTTAAACATGTCGAGAATCCATTGAAAATTTTATGCAGCTCCAGTTTGAATTAAAGTTTCTATCCACGAGGAGTTCAAATGTAAATAAGAATATAGAGGGGGGGAAATTCATTGGAGAAAATATATAGATTAAAACCTGTAATTTCCACTGCAACTTTGAAGTTTTAAGCAGCGCATGAAAGACATCAGAGTCCATATTCTCCTTCATCTCTGCAACTTTGATCATTTTTTTTATCTTCTTTGCTACCAAATTAGTATAAATATGCATGGGAGTTTCCTAGTTAACATACCAACTTATCCTATCTTCAAAAACGCAAAAAACGCTCTCAATTCTCGGTTTTTCACTCCATTTTGTAAATTCGCTACGTATTAATTTATCGTTTCCACTTCACAATTCTCGTTTATTTCTCTCTTTTACTTACGAAATGGCCGGTGAACAACCATCAAACGAACAAGTTGCCCAAATTCTCGCCGAACACGGATGAAAGTCCGAGATTTGGAATCACTACAACTTGGTGGTTCTCACGACCAGAAAACGAAAGGCACAATGCAAATTGTGTCAAGCTCTCCTTACGGCGGAAGTAAATTTTACGTTAAGGAGGCACACCGAAAAAACGTGCCCGGGGTTGAGGTCGGGGGGTGATTCAAGCCAACCGATACTTGACACCCAAGGTCAAATATGGCCCTACAATGCCGATTTGAACCGACAAATGACAACACAATGTGTCATTCAAGTCGGTTTGCCTTTCGGACATTTCGACAACCCTCACGTTACGAAGATGATTCAAAAGACGCTACAACCACGATACAAGCCGGTAAGTCGTCAAACCCTTAGACGTGATGCTATAAAAAAGTGGAAAATGTGTCAATCCGGAATGCAACAAATGTTTTCCGCTTTGCCTAACAATATTTTTTAACGTGTGATGTATGGAGCGCACCATACGGATTGTCGGTTTCGTATATATGCATAACGACACATTGGGTTGAGCCTACAACATGACATTTATTCAAATGTGTAATCACGTTTGAACCGTTTGGTGCGCCACATTCGGGTGCACGTCAATTTTCGATTATTAAAAAAACCGCTAAAATAATTAGTATTTCATTTGATAACGCTAGTAATAACAATTCTTGTGTTGGAAAAATTAAAGTATCATTTGGCACCTATTTTACACGGTAAATTCTTTCATACATGTTGTTGTGCACATATAATAAATTTAGCCGTTCAAGACGGTTTAAATACTTGTAAACCCGTAATAGATAAGTTTAGACTTATGTTGCGGCGAATTTTCACAAAAGGTAAAAAAAATGCATGCACCCTATAGAAAGTATTGCGATGACGTCGGTTTTAGAGCTTTGGGACCGAGCCACGATATGCCCGTTCGTTGGAACTCGATATATTTTATGATTGAAAATTTATTAAAACAAAAAAATTATATTTTTGTTTTTTATAGACACTATTACCCACAAAACTCTATTGGAATTCTTGATTGGGCTGTGCTTGAAGGATTGTACGACATTTTAGGCGATTTTAAAAATGCGACAACATTTTTATTGAGAATTTATTATCCAACAAGTTTTTTAGTTTTAAACCAAATCTATATTTTGGCAAATAAAATTGCCCAATACGAAGACCATCACGATTGGGGAAGGTTGATGTCTTGCATGAAAAAAAAATTATTAAAATATTTTATAGGCATCCCATTTGATTTTCTTTGTGCTGCGGCGTTAAACCCGTATTTAAATATTGTTGGTGTTGAAGTTTTAATTACACAAATATGTGTGGCTTTTAGTTTGGATACCGCTACAGATAATTCTTTTTCAATGAAACAAAAACGTTTATTTAATCGCAATTTTCAAGATTTATTTGATCATTACAAACATTTTTACGGAGGAGGAAACCAACCACAAACACCTTCCTCATGTGGTTTTGCGGGTTCTAGTTCTTCTTCTAGTGGTCATCGACAAAGTCGTAAAGAGTTGATGACTAATTCAATGGACGAGATTTTAAATGAATCAAGTAAAAAAAATCGATATGATAACGATTTGGGTGAACTAAATATGTATGTGTATACTAACTTTATGGCATTTGAATCGTTAAGAGGTGAATCTTGTTTGGCAAAAAAAAATCTGTATTTTAATTGTTTTAAAACCTTCTGAATGATTTTGTATCCTGAACCTCCCTTAACCATTCAGCGCCCTAATTTCATTGTAAATAATTATATTTTACATTATATTATGAAAACCTCTTAATTATACTGACCACTTAATCATTCTACACCAAACCATCCAGCAACTCTTAGACACCCCTTTACTTCTTTATACATTCTCCACCGATGGTGGGGCATGTTTCAGCCGAATATTTTGCCTTTTGGACAACACTTGCAAAGACTTTTAAAGCTGATAACGTTTAAAACACGATTATTTTAATGGAGATTAAATTGGCCTTATTTTAGTGATTTTGACGGCTTATTAAGTCAAAGTTGTATTAATCTAGATTCCACATGGATGAGGCTGATTGACAGGCTGGTTGTTTTCTGCCTTTCATCACTAAGCTGGGGCCTTCGTATTCATTCGTTGTATGGTTATGAAAGCGATATCTGGTGGTTAGTTCCGTTATCTCGTGACGCTAATTCTCCGATCTTGCATTGGGATCTACAAGGCTTTCGCTTCAACTTCTGTGTTCTTATCGTCTTACAGGTACCAGATGCTTTTATTATACTGTTTTAACTTCATCGTTGATTGCGTACACACTTGTAATTTCTGTGTTTTTATATTCTGGATCATGAATTTGGATAGTAATGAGAAGCATCTATGAAATCGATGCTTGTACTGGTTATTGATTCCTAAATTAATCTCTGTGTGTGTGTGTGTGTTTGTGGTTGGGGAGGGAGTAAGTCAAATCTCGTGTCGGTGCAAATGGTTTGGGTGAATTAGACTGCTGCCAGTGGAGAAGTAAGCTGCCTGATTCTACTAACACTTGGATGGATCATGGATTGTCTGTGATTCTGTGGATGAAATATTTAAGGGGTCTCGTGGGTGGTGGAGGGCATGGGGAATTTGGGCACTCTCTCCTCTCTGAAATCTCTACTCTCCTCTGGAAATCTCTTCTCTGTTGGAACCAAAGCATCACACAAACTAATAATTCTGTTATTATTGTTGAAACATCATATGTTACAAACAGCAAACAAACCGAAAGTCCGAAACCTATATACTAAACCAAAGGACACATCCGTTCAGACCAACAGATGCGACACCCTTTCATATGACAGTTAAATAACTGTCATGTAACCCCTAACAGCTATAAACTAAATTAACGGTAACAGAATAAACGACCATATAGCGATATTAACGACTTTATGAAACCAGATTCTAGCTTAATATTTAACACACCCCCTTAAGCTAGAATGGTTTAACACCCAAACTTTTCTTCATGTGTGTGAACAGCCCCACTTGTAGTGCTTTTATAAAACAATCTGCAACTTGGTCTTTAGAGACGCAGAATTCGATCCTTACTTCTTCATTGGCGACCAATTCTCGTATAAAGTGAAACTTTATACGGATATGCTTGCTCTTGCCATAAAATACAGGATTCTTAGAGAGAGCTATGGCAGATCGATTATCACAGAAAATGGTTGTAGGTTCTTCCTGTGAATGTTCTAATTCCTTCAGAATGGCTCTAAGCCATAAAGCTTGGCATCCAGCAACAGATAAAGACATGTATTCTGCTTCTGTTGAGGACAAAGCCACAACGCTTTGCTTCTTCGATTGCCAAGACACTGCCCCTGTCCCTAGATGGAATATAGAACCGGCAGTGCTTCTTCCATCATCCATACTGCCTCCGTAATCACTGTCGCTAAAGCCGACCAACTTGAAATTTTCTGATCTTGAGTAGGAAATTCCATGATTCACAGTCCCCTTAATGTACTTCAATATTCTTTTTCCTGCATCCCAATGGCTCTTTTTGGGCATTTCTATAAATCTGCTAATGATACTCACTGAAAATGCGATATCARGTCTGGTGGYAGTCAAGTACMTCAGACTGCCAACCAAACTTMTATATAAGCTTGCATCAATAAATTCTTCCCTGTCATCTTTGTGCAACTTGAGACCAAACTCCATTGGGGTAAGTGAAGGATTGGTTTGACTCATATTAAACTTTTCTAATAAGGTTTGAGCATACCTCTGCTGTGGTATGCTCTTGATTCCCTCTAAATCTTGCTTTACTTCAATTGCCAGAAAGTAATGTAACAGTCCCATGTCGGTCATTTCAAATTCTTGTTTCATGCTTTCTTTGAATTCATCAATCAGCTGCTGTGAATTCCCTGTAAACACTAAGTCATCCACATAAATGCATACCATAAGAATCATACCTTTGATTTTCTGAGTAAAAAGAGTATGTTCTTGGGATCATTTGTTGAATCCATGTGCCATAAAATAACTTTCAATACGGCTGTACCAGGCTCTTGGAGCCTGTTTTAAACTGTATAAAGCTTTCTTTAAATGGCAGACCTTGTATTTCTCTCCTTTCTTTATGAAACCTTCCGGCTGATCTATATAAACATCTTCTTCCAGAAAACCATTCAAGAAGGCAGATTTTACATCCATTTGATGTACTTGCCATTTATTTTGAGCAGCTAATGCCAAAACCAATCTAACTGTTTCAAGCCTTATAACAGGAGCAAACACTTCTTGGTAGTCTATGCCATGCTTTTGCTTATATCCTTTAACAACCAACCTTGCTCTGTGCCTATCCACCTCTCCTTTCTCATTTAACTTAGTCTTGAAAATCCATTTAACCCCTATGGGTTTATGTCCACTTGGAAGAGTAACTAACTCCCATGTGTTGTTTCTCATAATGGAGTCCATCTCCTTGTTCATTGCTTCCCTCCATCTAGCATCTTGATATGCTTCCTTGAAGGACACTGGATCTGCATTAGAGAACAGCACAAAGTCTGCTGTATCATTAAAGTCTAAGCTTCTTGGATCATCATAGACATCTCTTAAGCTTCTGTATCCTCTTACTGGTGGACTTTCAGGAGAGCTTTCAGAAACTCCTGTGCTACTTGAGTTTTGAGGCATGATGGGAGTTTCAGGAGTCGGAGAATGATGATCATTTTGTTCAGATTCTACATCTCTTTGAACTTGTTTCCTGTCATATGGTTACTGCATCCGCTGTCCATGTACCATGTATCTTCAGTTAGTAATTCAAGTGTGTTTAAAATCATAAACATGGTATCTTCATTATCTTCGATGTTAACAAAGTTGTTTTCCCTTTCTTCTGCGATCCTTTTCTTACAAAATTTCACTATGTGTCCAAGTTTCTGGCAGTGATAACACTGCATAGGAGAAGGTTTGCCTCTGCCCTTACCCTTGAAATCCGTCTCTGACTCTCTCGGTTGAAACCTGTTTCTGTCTTGAGGGGTTGAACTACTTGGTGATTGCAATTGAAACGCCTGCTCATATGGATTGCTATCGAACTGTTTCATCCTGAGTTCATGAGACTGCAGGATTCCCAACAATCTTTCAAGTGACATAATAGAGATATCCTTTGATTCCTCTATCGCTACTACCACATATTCAAATTTTCGAGTTAAACTCCTTAAGATCTTTTCTACAACTCTTCTATCTTCTATTATTTCACCATTGAGACGAAGTTGATTCAGAACAAGGATAGTTTTGTTGTAAAAATCCTCGATGGTTTCTGAATCCTTCATCTTTAAACCATGGAATTTGCATCTCAAAGTTTGGAGTCTTACTGTCTTGACTTTTTCTTCTCCTTTGTATGTTCTATGTAGCATATCCCATGCTTCTTTCGCTGTTTCTGTTGTAGATATCCTCTCAAATATCGCTTCATCTACAGCTTGGTAGATCGTGAATAGTGTCTTCTTGTCTTTCTTTTTAAGTTCTCTGATTTCCCCTTCCTGTTCTTCGGTGAAATCGTTCAATTCTATAAGTCCATCAACACCTTGATTGATGATGTCCCACAATTCTTGAGACTCGAACAATACTTTCATCTGGATATTCTAGTGATGGTAATTTCTCCCATTTAATTTGGGTAGAGGATGATGAATAATGCTATTTGAAGTCGAAGCCATTGAAGAACACGAGCTCTGATACCACAATGTTGGAACCAAAGCATCACACAAACTAATAATTCTGTTATTATTGTTGAAACATCATATGTTACAAACAGCAAACAAACCAAAACCTATATACTAAACCAAAGGACACATCCGTTCAGACCAACAGATGCGACACCCTTTCATATGACAGTTAAATAACTGTCATGTAACCCCTAACGGCTATAAACTAAATTAACGGTAACAGAATAAACGACCATATAGCGATATTAACCACTTTATGAAACCAGATTCTAGCTTAATATTTAACATTCTCCTGCTGCTGCAGCTATGTATTCAGTTTATTAGTTTTATTTCCTTGCAATAGATAGTCTACTATCGTTTATATTTTCCCTAAGGTGGTGTTTGGTTCGCAGCATATTTTTGGATGGAATGGAAATCGTTAAAGGATTTCAGCTTTGAAGGAATTGGAATGAAATGTTGTAAGGTTTGACCACCTGTTTGGTTGGCAAACATTAGAATGTAATCTGTTAAGGAATTGAAATCTGTTTGTTTGGTTCTTAGAATGTAGCTTTGGAATTGGAATGAAATATTGGTAAATGACCAAAATAAAGAAGAGTTTACTTTCATACCTTATAGGATTTTACTAGTAAATTATGTTTGTTGCTTTTCAGAAAGAGTCATTATTAGTTCAATCAATAGCATGTGGACATGCCTTTAAAAAAAAGCATGTGGATACAATAAATGATATATTTCATGATTTTAGTTCATAGACCTTCCATTAATTGGTGAGAATGACAAGATTCATTCCAAGGCCAGCCTTTAGAATCTGTCTATGAATGCCTGGATGGTTGAAGTCTTGAAATATTTTTCTCAGTCAGTGTACGGACTTGGGAATACATGGTTGAAACCAAAGGTATTGCTAACCCGAACTTTCTAGAGGTTAAGGGTTCCAACCTCACCAAAGGTGAGGGGGGCGTGCGTGTGTGTGAGTTTTCATTTGCTGAATATAAATATTATATACTTAAAAAAAGGAACATGGTTGGAATTTTAAATATCTTTCTCTGCACGAGTGTAGGAATCGTGTACCCTTGTTCTTGTAAATGGCAATTGTGGGTGCATGTACAAAGTCCAATTTTTATATGAGAGAGTAGAATGTCGTCAACAAATTTTTGGTGCATAGCTTATTAAAATAGGTTTGTAGTGCATGCAAGAGAAAAATACACAATTATTTGGTATTCTTTTCCCTAAGTGACCAATAACTTTTTATTTCTTGCATTCATGAATGGAGGGTTTGGGTTTGTGGGGTTGGGGGATTTGTTGACTGCTGTTACATTTCTCTGTACAATGCTAGATTTTTTGAAACTAATTCGTAAACCAAGGGGTATATCTGGTCTACATACCTCAAAGGTTGCACTTCATAGTTCATGGAAGAATATTGACTTGGTTGAAGTTGTTACTTACAAACAAGTTAATTCGTTGAGCGAGCATTCATATTTTTAGTTGTTTGGCATTCAAATTCAGATATTCACTTATGGTTACTTATCTTCGTATGTTGTTGGAGTTGGTGGATTATATGTTTACCTTGTTGTTCATTAGTCCCTGGATTGAATTGGAAATTTTCACATCACTATGCGATGGAAATGCAACTACCTGCAAAGGAAGATCTGTATGGAGGTGTTGTGGTAGAGATGAAGGAGAATATGGACCCTGATGTCTTTCATGCGCTGCTTAAAACTTCAAAATTGCAGTGGAAATTACAGGTTTTAATCTATATATTTTCTTCAGTGAATTTTTTCCCTCTATATTCTTATTTACTTTTGAACTCCTTGTGGATAGAAACTTTTATTCAAATTGGAGCTGCATAAAATTTTCAATGGATTCTCGACATGTTTAAAGCGGATTATCAACAATAAAACTTCAAAGAACCAAACCAAACGTGCCCAATATATCTCAACTGGAGGTAGCGTCTCTGGGTAGGATGTACCAAACATCCAAAGGAGTAGAGAAGCTGTTTATGTGAAGACCACCCCCTCCCCCTGGGGGTGCTTCCATAGAACACACACATTTTTTTAAAATAAAACATATCCAGGGTTGTAGGCCACAACTAGCATAACAACTATTATACGTCCAAAGTTGGTATTGCCCCAAGCAATTAGTGCAAAGTCATTGCTTCAAATGATACTATTTTTTTATGTCCAATACTTCTATAGTTGTTTTTACTAGTCGCCTAAATCATTTACATGATTAAAATCCAATGCTGAGTTAAAGTTATCGCTGATACAGAAGTCTGCCTGTCTATATTGCATAATTCTTATAAATTTATTCATAGTGGCACTAGCTACTGAGACACTTTGTATATGATACATGAAATTCCACTGTATTGTATATTTTAGAGATTATTGACTTCTGTCTTTGTGTTTTTATTTTTGACAGGGCAAGAAGGGTGTTTGGATTAAACTGCCAATTAATCTGGTAAATCTTGTTGAAACTGCAATTAAGGTATCTATCTCATACTCTGCTTACTGCTAGGTAAATTTATGGGTACAAACTGGTAATATACCATGTTAGGTCAAACATGGTCTGAATATGGTTTCGTTTTGTTAAATTGTTGATTATCATGAAGTTTACAGTTTTTTCTCTTCCTGAAATGAAAGGAGGGCTTTTGGTACCACCATGCTGAACCCAAGTTCCTGATGCTCGCCGACTGGCTTCCCGAAACCACAAGTACTCTCCCAGGAAATGCTACACATATAGCTCGTGTTGGTGCTATTGTCTTAAATGATAAACAAGAGGTATGTTGCGGTGACCATCATTATTACAGTCTACGGTATCTGAAATTATTGTGTCTAGTGGTATATTGTATGGACTACTTCCCATATCTCCATTTTTTGTTTTTCTTTTGTTTGTTTTGCTTTTCTGTTGCTTTATATGATCACTTATCGGCATTTTGAAGCTAAATTTTCCATGCTGATCCATCATTTTGAATGTATTGGGATTTTTCCCTGATCATGGCTGTTGGAAGGCATCTAACTTCTGTAGCTCCCTAGCTTTCTCTATTCACTGGAGGTTGGTTTCATTGCATCCGCTGATGTTGACCGCTGTCCACTAAATCCTATCATACTTCCATATTACTCCTATGAGACTCTTAGAACATCCACAGTAGAGGTTCTTGTGCAGCTTTTTATAAGAGCACCTCCAATGGGTGGTTCTTATAAGCAAAAAGTGTAGTGTAAGAATTATCATTGAAGAGAGTTCTTATAAGAACCTCACATTCTTGGAGTTCTTTGTACAAGAGCCTTAGTTTCTTAAGTTAAATATTTGATATTTATTATAAAGATATAATAATTATTAATGTTGGAAAAAGTATATGTGACCCACAAAAGAGGTTCTTATAAGAACTACCATTGTGGATTTTTAAGTAGTTCTTAATTTGATGAGTTGAAAGTGATGTGGCTAGAAGAAGTACAAAAAGTAGTTTCTTAAAAGAACCTCCATTGGAGATGCTCTAAGAACCTCTACTGTCCAGTCATAGTCACAGTCACAGTCACAGTCACAGGTTATTGTTCAGTTTCATGCACACTTACAGGCCCAAGCCCATTATTATGTTGTATTCTATAAGAGGATAAAGGGGTATTTTAGTGAATTTGGGAAGTAGTCTGTTCACAGTCATAGTCACACATATCAAGAAGAAGCAACGGATCGATGTTTGACAGAGAGAAATTCGGTTATCCACCAATCATCCTCCCACAATTTGGTGTGATAACACCAGTGCCACATACTTGTCTGCTAATCCGATGTAAATGCACCAAACATATTTAAGGTTGACTCACATTTCATACAGAATATGGTTCTCTCCATTGCATTAAGAGTTCACTATGTTCTTACTATACAAAGTGCTGATATTTTACAAAGGGGTTATCTACTCTTTGTTTTATGTTCTTACTATCCAAGCTACTTGTCCACAATGACATTCAACTTGTGGGGGGATGTTGGAGCATTAATAGCCTGCTTGCCAAATGCTGCTATATCATAGTTGTTGGGGCACGAACTGTCTGCACAAAGGAATGGGCTCCGAGGACCGTTAGGAGGGGGATGACCAGGTCCACCTCCATGTGAGGAGGGGATACTGTTAGAAATTAATGACAAATCAGATAAATTAATCTGTGCATTTTAAGGTTTTTAGTTGGGTCAGTAACTTGGGCCGCAGGCCATCAAGTTGTGTCAAATAGAAGTCCATTAAATAGCAGTTATGAGTCAGTTATTATGCATCGATTACAAGAGTCATGTCTATTTGCTTGGCACCGGTTCTGCTTATATATATGTATATCGTGTATACTCTGTTTTCAGAGACAATCAATAGAATTTTTCAGTTTACATAAAGTGTTCTTTGCTGTGATTATGTTCCAATGGAGATGAAGAATGATTCATCTCCAACAAAGTGGTATCAGAGCATTAGGCTCGATCAAGGGAAGAAGAGATTGAATCATAAAATTGATTCAATGCGTATCAGGAAGAAAGTTACCAAAAAGGTTCCTGTGGTAAAAGCCGTGAAGAAAGAAGATGAAGGCACACAATCTGAGGTGATACCAGTTAAAGAGCAAGAGAACTCTGAAAATAAGTCAAAGAATGCAGATACAGGCATTGCAAGTGGGAAGACAACCATCAAGAAGAAAATAATCAAAAGGGTTACTAAGAGAAAGGTTGTCGCCAAGGTTGCCAACAATAAGGATAACGTGGCAGAGGAAGCAGGAATAACTACTGGGGAGCAAAATTTAACATTAGGCAACAAGGAAAGTGAAGTCAAAKTAGAAAGCAATGAATCAGTCTCAAAGACAAAGGCTCCAAGTGTGGCCCCCGAGAAGAACAAGAATGGGGGTGATCTAGTTAAAAATGAAATCAAGGGTAAAGTGTATAGTGGTTCTTCATCCAAAATGAAGTCTGACAATGAGAAATTAGAAGATGGAGAGAAATCTAAGGAGGGAAAAGTGAGAAAAATCAATAAAGGGGACCGATATGTGGAAAGGTACAGCAAAGAAGTGCAGTGTTATGGTGATTATTTGGTACAGGGAACCGATGGAAGCTATTAGACTAGGTTATACGTTAATGTAATTATGAATAGTTAGAGGTATCTAAATGTAATTTGTATTATTATATAATGAGATCAATGAGAAGGGGAAAACCCACGATTTACTACCATCTAAATCCCTCCCCTTCTCCTACTTCCGAACCTCAGCACCCAAACTCCACTACCCAAACCCCAGCCCGGTTCGGCCACACTTACTCACGGCACCGACCCAAACACACTAATGCCAACCAGCCGACATCCACATCCACTACCGAGCCTCACTCGGTCCATCCCACAACCGACACCGTACCAGAACCTACGGCTCCCGGTACTGCACCTACATCACCAAATCCCTCGCCACCACCGGCCCGCACCATGCAAACCCGTAGCATGACAGGCCACTCCAAGCCACGGGTACCTTTTTCCCTTCAAACCTCTACCACCATCACACCCCTTCCCAAAAACCTACCAGCTGCCTTAGCCAGTCCGAATTGGCACCATGCCATGCAAGAGGAGTTCTCTGCTCTTATTGATAATAAGACGTGGGAGCTTGTACCGCGGGACCCCAATATGAATGTTATTCGGTGTATGTGGATCTTCAAACATAAACTGCAATCMGATGGGTCGTTGGAAAGGTATAAAGCTCGGTTGGTTGGGGATGGCCGCACTCAACAGGTAGGCGTTGATTGTTCTGACACATTCAGTCCTGTGGTTAAACCCGCAACCATACGGACCGTTCTGACTATTGCTTTGCATCATCATTGGGATATCTCTCAACTTGATGTAAAGAATGCCTTTCTACATGGTACACTTCATGAGACGGTTTACATGCATCAGCCACCAGGATTCAGGAATGCTAATTTTCCACATCATGTATGTCGGTTAAAGAAGTCTCTATACGGTCTCAAGCAGGCACCCCGGGCATGGTACCAACGGTTCACGGATTATGTTGGTACCTTGGGATTTCGACTTAGCTCCAGTGATAATTCACTGTTCATTTTTCATCAGGGACAAAATGTTGCCTACATTCTTCTATATGTGGATGACATCATCTTGGTCACCTCGTCTCCAGCACTGAAAGCCTTCTTCATGACTCACTTGTCTACCGAATTTGCCATGAAAGACTTGGGCCCTTTATCTTACTTTCTTGGCATCTCGGTCCAGCGGTCCCCTGATGGTCTATTTTTATCACAGGGACGGTATGCTCAAGAAATCCTCGAACGGGCCAAAATGGARGATTGCAATCCGGTAKTAWCWCCTGTTGACACAACMGGGAAACTTAGCGCCAGTTCTGGCGATCTGATTGATGATCCCACTACGTACCGCAGCCTTGCGGGCGCACTCCAGTACCTCACATTCACACGCCCGGATATTTCCTATGCRGTACAGCAGGTCTGCATGTTTATGCATGCTCCCAGGACTGGTCATTTTCATGCTCTTAAACGGATTCTGCGATATGTCAAAGGCACACTTGGCATTGGGATCATGATGCGGCCGTCCTCCTTATCTACCCTCATTGCTTATACTGATGCCGATTGGGCAGGTTGCCCAGATACAAGACGCTCCACATCCGGATATTGCATTTTCTTTGGTGACAATCTGATCTCCTGGTCGTCCAAACGTCAAACCGTTGTCTCGCGCTCAAGTGCTGAGGCTGAATATCGGGGGGTAGCTAATGTGGTGGCAGAGTTGTGTTGGATTCGTAATTTACTACTCGACCTTCATTACCCCATTCGTCGTGCCTCGCTTGTCTATACTGATAATGTCAGCGCCATGTACATGTCTGGTAATCCTGTTCAACATCAACGGACCAAGCACGTCGAGGTGGATATTCATTTTGTTCGCGAGCTAGTCCGCAGGGGCTATGTTCGAGTCCTGCATGTTCCGTCTCGGCATAACTTTTCAGACATATTTACTAAAGGCCTACCGCGGGTTTTATTTGAGGATTTCCGCTCCAGTCTAAGCTTACRAGATCCTCCACCTTAGACTGAGGAGGTGTATTAGACTAGGTTATACGTTAATGTAATTATGAATAGTTAGAGGTATCTAAATGTAATTTGTATTATTATATAATGAGATCAATGAGAAGGGGAAAACCCACGATTTACACTCTATCAGAAGCAACTGGAATGAAATCTGGTATGTTTCTAAGTTTTATTCGAAACACATGACACCAAACCGTGATCTGTTTCTTAGATTCAAAGCCTGTTTTGATCCGGAGACACAAGAACACAACACAAACTTCCTAGTATTGAATGATGTTGGGGAAATTGTGTTAAAAACACCAGAAATCGAACATGTGATACCATGTGTAGCATACGTACCAGAAATTGGTATAAATGTGCTTAGCATGAAACAATTAATCAAACAAGGTTTTGAAATAGAGTTGGATGGAACAACACGTATGATCAAATACATGTTTTCTGATGAAGAAAGCACCACAGAAAATGTTAAAAATCGGAAGATAAAAGATGTGTTAAATGGAGAAACGCTCTAAAAGGAAGAAGTCAAATTTATCACAAATTATTGTGATATTTTGCTTAAGAATGACTTGAAGATTGTTAAAGATGATGATCTTGTTGAAAAGATACAAGATAGTATGTGTGTTGAGATGGATGATGTGTACAAGGGATGGTATGAGAAGAAGTTTAAGGAGATTTGTGAAAAATACGAGTTCGCAAAGGATGGACCAATGTGTCCAAGAGATTACACACTTGAAGATGTGCACGGTGTTGGTGAAAAGGCTAATAACCATGAAGATCAAGTAGGAGGCAAGATGATTCCTCCAAACATGTTTGATAATCAAGAAGCAATCGAGGATGTTACCGGTGAAGCGTCAAAAGACGGCAACAGTGGAGAAGATAGCTCAAGTGCATCGAATGAATTCAATGATTATGTTATCATTGATTGAAGAATGGTGATTAAGGAATTTACCTGTTTTGTCATTAAGGGGGAATGTTAGAAATTAATGACAAATCATATAAATTAATCTGTGCATTTTAAGGTTTTTAGTTGGGTTAGTAACTTGGGCCGCAGGCCATCAAGTTGTGTCAAATAGAAGTCCATTAAATAGCAGTTATGAGTCAGTTATTATGCATCGGTTACAAGAGTCATGTTTATTTGCTTGGCACCGATTCTGCTTGTATATATGTATATCGTGTATACTCTGTTTTCAGAGACAATCAATAGAATTTTTCAGTTTACACAGAGTGTTCTTTGCTGTGTTTCTGTTCCAATGGAGATGAAGAATGATTCATCTCCAACAGAGGCCCGGCTAACCCTCCAAGGAGCAAGGCGAAGCAAGGATAAAAGCTAAGGGACATCTACTGTTGAAACACACGAAAAGAACACCTAGGACCGCTCTTCTTACGAAAAAGCATTCCAACCAGCTGCCATATTTTTTTTCATCTCTTGACTATTATTCTGTATCATTAATTAGTTGACAATTATATTCCTGTAACTGCCGTCGTCGGCTACATTTCTATTGAGCTCAGTGGAGCGGTAATCCCGGTCGCCTGCAGTTTTTTACGTTCTCAGGTTTTCTGTGTCAACAACTGATGCTTGTCATCTATTTTTCGCATATACATTTTATTCGTCTCCATTTATAATTATTGTTGATTATATTATTTGATCATGGGGACTCATATCAGATCTTAAACTTTAATCAAAATCCGACCAAAACAATAGCCCTGTTATCCTCATAGCTCTCCGTAACACTGACTTAATGTTAAGAGTACTATAGATACATATACTTGTACTTCATCCCAAAAGAATAAGAATAGATCAACTTTTCCATTTTCTCTACTTCACATCACCCATATATACTAACAACACATATGTCATGAAATCTTGAGATCCACGAGAAAGTTACGGATTAACATTGTATATGTGTGTGGGGGTATATATATGTATGTATTGTGTTAATCTGTTTGTGGGTGTGCTATAAAGCCAAAAAATGATGAAACTTTATGTTTTTTTTGGAGCCAATTTTAAATGGAGGAAAGAGAAAGGGAGGAAGGAGAGTAGAAGAGAAATAGGGAAGGAGAAAAATAGAGAGAGTGAGAGGAAGAAAGAGAAGAGATTGGAGTTTCTCTCCTTTCTTGAGTGTTTTGACTAAATGCCCTCTTTTAACTAATGTAGACTTTAATAGCTGTTAGATAAAGAGGCTTGGTCAGTTGACTGGGGGGCATTGTCTCATTAAGGACTACTGGTTGCAAAATGTTTTGAAGGGATCCAAAATTGCAGGTTAGTACTACTCTAGGAACCAGTTTTCGTAATTCACTGTATTTCATCTAAACTGTAACAACCCATCCCACATGGATATAAAATCAGATTTGTTAGGTCCTTATGATCTCAAAGTTGTGGGTTACCAATAACTTCCACCATGATTTTAAGTTGATTTGTATGTTATTGGGCCAACCTCCTGCTTTGGGCTACGGGGAGTTACCCAAGGGGTTGTGGATGCAGAGCTCAAACTAGTTGGTCAGTTATGAGAGTCCTGAGTGGGATAAAAGGAACACCTAAACCTCTTCTTCCCACTTTTCAAAATACTATTTTGTAGTAAATCTAATGGCTCAGCACAGCCCTCAGATTCTTGTTTGTAGAACTCAGCATGCAACCATAAAAATCCCAGTTCAACTCAAAAATTACGTATATAAATTTTTTAGATCAGTTGGCTAGATGGTTTTTCTCTCTGAGACTTCATTTGCTGTTTTGTGTATTAGATCCTCGTTGTCCAGGAGAAGCTTGGGGGAAAAACGGAAGTTTGGAAGATCTCTACAGGAATTCTTAAACAGGTGTGTGTTTCAAAGGAAGTTCCTTAATTTTCCAAAACCAGGTGCATAGCTTTTCTCCAATGATCTGATGATAGTTTCTTCTACAGGGTGAGGATATTCATGTAGGGGTGGTTAGAGAAGTAAAAGAAGAGACAGGAGTAAGTTTCAAGCCTCTGCTATGCATTTCAATAGTATCTCACTTCTGGGTATTGCCTCTAGATGCCAAATAAACATGAAAATTTCGATTTTTTCATAAGGCTGATGATTTAACCTGTCACAGATAGATACAGAGTTTGTTGAAGTGCGGGCATTCAGGTATACGCAATCAATTTTTTGAGCCTTATCTTCTGAATAGCATTGTTACTGCTAAGAAAGTGAAAAATAAAAACAGTAACTCGCATGCATGTTTCACCCACTATACAACCCGGATAAAAATCTCCTGTCCCAAATTCTTGCATCCCGTTCCTGTCCACCACCAATCACATGAATACATATTATCAAGAGAGAATGGGAACTTGAATAAAATAAATCTAAAATATATAAAAATCTGATGTGTCTTAATTTCATTGGTTGGACAGGAATGAGATGTGTATTGGGACAACAAATTTTTATCCATAGGACTCCATGTAGATTAGTGTTTCCAAAGATAAGAGTATGTTTCATTAAAGCATCTGTGATAGGTACTTCACAGTAATGATAATTGATTAAATATAAATTTTCCAGTCATTCGCTTCTGGACGGTTGCAGCCTTTCAGGGTTTTTAATTTGATATGGGTAGTTTAATAATTTACCAATCTTGTCCCGTCTCCCTGATTTTTGTTTCACCAATTTATTTGCATTTTTTCCCCATTCAGTCCCTGTCCTCAGTTTATTGTCACACCAAAAGTGGGACAAAATGTTTCTGCATGCCCTGCGTACGGAACTCATTAAAGAAGTGATCTTTAAGATCATGTCCCCCAAGGCAACCTCATACCACTCTTTCCCTCTTCCTTGTCATAAATCACTTTCCATAAGTTTGGTAGCAACACTTGCACTGTAGCTTGTATTTTATATACTATCTTTATGCTTACAAATTGATCCAATTGGCAGTCAAGAGCATGATGTATTCTTTGGGAAATCAGAAGTACTCTTCCTGTGCATGATGCGCCCACTATCGTTTGACATCCAAATTCAAGAAACGGAAATTAAGGCAGCAAAGGTACTGACCAATGTTATTGCACACAGTATCATTTAACTCTTTCTTAAGATCATTAATGGCTATGCAGTGGCATAAAGAACACGGAATTAATGAATTTGATGAAGTATTTTTTCTACTCGTTCTATATACCATTACTCCGTGCTTTTGACCAACAGTATGTGAAGAGAGTGATGAAATAGTTACACTCTAGGCATTAATAATGTGAAGCTTAGTTTGGGCACGTTTGTAGGAGACAGATGTCGAGGCTGGTGAGGATGGTGGAGAGTTTCAGGGTCAAAGGTGTTAGGAGGATGAGGGCCAAACATATGAGGACGCGGGATGAGGAGCCTAGACCTGGCATCTTCAAACATTTCAGAATGCATGACCTCGGATAGGAGTTTTTGGAGACGTATGACTTGGATGGCAGATTATGTGAAAGGAATCTTCAATTTTGGGGCCAGGGGAAGGGAATGGGAGGTAGATGGAGGTTGGGACTTGGGGGAGTGTTAGGGTCCGTTTGTTAGCAGCTTAATGGGACTTCACAATTTATTCGATCAACTATACGTGATTGTTTGGTAGTGGCTTAATGTATAGAGAGTGGCTTATTCAGTAAGCCTTTAGGGGAGAGCTTTATGTAGAAAGCCAAGTCTTTTCCAGACCTATCCCTCCCAATTAAAAAAGACGCTCCTTCCATCTACAAAAAGCCACTCCCAAACAAAAACCTTCTCAATCTATACAGACTGATTAATCCACACAGACAACTTTATCCATACAGGACTTAGGTTGTTTGACAATTGCTGAATGGTTTGGTGCAGAATGATTAAGTGGTCAGAATGATTAAGAGGCCCTCATGATATAGTGCAATATGAAATATAATTGTTTGGTAATTGTGTACAATGAAATTAGGGCTCTTAATGGTTAAGGGAGATCCAGGATACAAAACCATTCAAAGGGTTTTAGAACCATTAAGAGGCAGACTTTTATTTTGCCAAACAAGATTCACCTCTTAACGATTCAGAGGTTGCCTCTTAATGGAACTATTAAGAGGTAAACAAACAACCTCTGAAAAACCAACCAATTGGCCCCTTAGAGATTGATTCGAAGGGTAGGTGCAGTGTCCAAGATTGGTCAGCCAGGTTTCAGAGCCATAGGTCGGGGAAGGGTTACAAAGTCCACCCTTCTTTTTTTGAATAAGATCACAACCCAAATATGGAACAAGAACAAACAATAAACTGATATCAGATTTCTTATTGCATAAATTATGTTCCCACCTAACATACATAGACGACACATACTTATATATATAGTACTTAGATTGACAGTTACATAGCAGTTATCAACCGCGATGTTAGTTAAATAACTAACTACCTTAACCCACCAAGTCTAGGTTACACCGTTTAACAGCCGCCCATAAACTAGACATGGATTATGTTACGGATCCAATTGTTATGGACCAAAGCTCACATAAACCAAATATTTTAAAGGTATATTCTAGAAGATCCAAAAGGGTAGAAAAGGAAAGTGGCTAAGAATGTTAGTTAGAGGCGTGGTGCTTAAATAAGGATGAGGCTGGAAAGAGAAGGCATTATGTTATTTTTTTCCTAAATTGTAATTGGCTCTTTGCTTAGGCTTTGAGAGAGAGGAGTTTTCCCTGGATTCCCTGTTTGTTATCAGCTTTTGCATTCAATCAAATTGGCCGACTTACTCCATTCCTATTTTGTCTTCTTACCATTTTTATTAATCTGTGAATTGTTTAGTCTTCTTACCATTTTTATTAATCTGTGAATTGTTCTGTCTTCTTACCATTTTTGTTAATCTGTGAATTGTTCTTCATCACTGGTCTGACCTGCTTCGCCTGGTGTGTGTCCATGGAAACCAGAGCTCAACAAACCCGTCTCGATCAACATGAGGAGCAACTACAGCAACTTTAGTCGGATGTTTTGGAAATCAAAACGGCAATTAAGGCTTGGGAGGGCGATCGTGGGGAGGAGGAGGAATTTCGCAAAATTGTCATGTCTTGGGTCAAACAACAAGGTAAGCAGACTAACTCGGATACTGGAGGACCGTCGATGGTGTCCAGTGGCTCTCCCATCATTCCGACATCGTTGGTGGGTGATGTTCCGATGAATCAGGGCAGGGGCATCTCCAATTCCGGTTTTACTACGGAGGAGGATTCGCAATGGCGTCGGGTGGGAGTACTGCAATTATCGGCTCACAATCGGGATCTCCACAAGGATTTCCATGGGCCGCAAAAAAGATCAAGCTGCCGGAATTTCATGGTTTTGATCCGCAAGGGTGGATTAAGAAAGCGGAATTGTATTTCGATATTCATGGTGCGCCTCTTCATCTTTGAATTCATTTGGCGCAGTTAAGCATGGAACGCGTCGCCCAACACTGGTTCACGATTGCCAGTCAGATTTATGATTCGATCACTTGGGAACAATTCACTCGGGAGCTGTTACAGCATTTTAGCGCCTCGAAATACAGAACCCGTTGGAATTTGGAAAGCGTAGTACTAATGTCCAAGTACCATTCCACATCAGCGCCGAATACTCGTCAGCCATGGCAATACGCCACTGAGGGTACCTGTTAGCAATAGTAAAGGTGGTCGGTTCGGTGTCAAGGGAAGGTGATGGTATGGTATGAGGAGGCATTGTAAGGTTTGGTTTGTTTGGAATTGGGGCGTAGGTTGGGTGGTCGAGTACGGGTGGGTTGTTCTGTGGTAGAGGAGGTGGGGGGGATAGGGGTAGTGGGGTGCTCATTAGGAGGGGTGGTGGTAGTTGTTGTTTCTTGTGGGACAGATTGCACAGTAGGTGCTGTTGAGGGTGCCGGTTCTGGTGAGAGGTCAGATTTGGGATAGGTGGAGAAGTAAGGATTTGGAGTGGTTGGAGTAGGAGTGGTTGTAGGAGATGTTTGGAAAGGAAAGGATTGTTTATTAAATTGAACGTGACGGGCCACGTAAAGACGATCAGACTGTGGGTCGTAACACCATAGCCATGATGAGCGGTGCTGTAACCAAGGAACACACAAGGTGTAGAGCGGAAGTCCATTTTGTGTTTATTGTATGGACGAAGATAAGGGTAGCATTGACATCCAAAAAACCCGAAGAAAGGAAAATTCGGGTTTGTGCTTGAACACATGTTCAAAGGGTGAGGTGTTTGAGTTGGTTCTGGATAGCATTCGATTAATAAGATAGCTGCGCTGTCAAAAGCAAAATGCCAAAACCGTTGTGGAACATTGGATTGAGCAAGTAAAGTAAGACCGGTTTCAACAACATGTCGATGTCGTCGTTCATCAAATCCATTTTGTTCGCTTGTATGTGGACATGAGAGGCGATGGGTGACGCCGAGAGGAGAGAAGAATTGGGAGATTCTGAAACTCGCCTCCCCAGTTGATTTGGACAGATTACAGTTTGGTTTGAAAATGCCTTTCAACCGTCGCAAGGAATCGTTTAAAAGTGGCATAAACATCAGATTTTAGTTTTAATGGAGAAATCCACATAAATATGGAGTAATTATCAACACACAGCAGAAAATAATTGTGACCATCAAAAGAAGGAACATGAGCGGGGCCCCATACATCACAGAAAACTAAATCCAAAATGTGCGAACTTTTAGAAGTAGATGGTAACAAATGAAGTTTAGACGATTTGCCAACAAAACATAAATCACAAGTACTAGTACACTTATTTTGTAAAGGTAAATAATATTTAGACAACATGGACTTCAGTAGCTGTGGATGTGGATGTCCAAGTCTTTGGTGCCATGTGGTGGAAGAGGCACGTGCTGTAGAATACGACATTTTCTGAACATGTTGACTTGGACCCATGAGGAGGATAGTGTGTGTGTGAACTTGTCATTCACAACAAAGAAAGTAGAGTGAAATTCAAAGTACACATGGTTATCAAAACATAATTTTTGAACAGAAAGTAAGTTTTGTTTTATGTCAGGTATGTGTAGTATGTCTTTAAGGGAAAAGGTTTTGTTTGGTGAATGAAGTTGTGAGGAACCAATGTGTAGAATGGGTAAACCTTACCATTGCCAACGTGAAGGTTGTCCTCACCGTAGTAGGCCTCAGAGTTATCAAAGCTAGATAGGTCCGATACAACATGATGGCTAGAGCCAGTATTCGGAAGCCAAGCTTGTGATCGGTAATCTGTAAAGTTGGCAGAAGGTGGTTGTCTCGTCCTCATAGGAGCAGGGTCGCGATTGGGGCAATGAGACGAGATATGCCAATCCCACACCTGTTGCATGTGCCAAAAACAGTGTTCTGATTAGAAGCCCAACTAAATTGATTACGGTTACCTTATCCTTGACTTTTGTTGTTGTAGTTTCCTCGTCCGTATCTAGAATCACGTCCACGGCCACGGTTATTCCCAGATCTGTTGGTGTAAAGTTTCCATGGCACCCGTCCTTTCTTCCAACCGTTTTTCTGTCCTGTCTGACCMGTCTCTCCCTAKAGATCCTGGGTCCTCCTCCTCTTCTCTTCCCCCCTCCTCTGCTCCTCTTGTGTTCGAGGACGATCTCCATGATCAGGATGACCTCCTTGATGAGGATGAGCTGATTGAGGTTGAGTCGGACGATGGTGACACCGCCCGATTCCTTACCAATGATATCCCCCCTCCCCAGGCTGATCCGATGACTTCTCAGGAGCCCGAGCAGATGGACTCCACCCCCTCCCCAGTTTCCCAATGACGAGTCTTGCCTCGTGGAATACCCGGGGTCTCTGTAATCTCTCCCACCAGAGAGCTTTAAGAGATCTCATTCGTGATTCTAATCTTCATATCTGTGCGGCTCTTGAGTCTCGCGCCCTTGTCTCTAATCTTCCTCCTATCTGTGAGAAAGTCTTTGGATCTTGGTCTTGGACCTCTAATGGCACTCTTTGTTCTAGAGGAACTCGTATCATTGTTGCTTGGAATCCTGACCATGTTGACATGATGCTCTTAAATGCCACCGACCAGGTGATGCACTTTCAGGCTAAGATCTGGGATTCCTCTAAGTCTCTCTTCTTGTCTTTTGTGTATGCGGACAATTACCATATCGCCCGTCGTCAGTTATGGACTTCTCTGAAGGGTCATAAGCATGTCGTCAAGGACGCCCCATGGTTCATCATGGGAGATTTCAATGCTGCCCTTGACCCGAAGGACAGCTCTTCTGGCTTTTCGGGCCCCCCTCGTGGTATGGATGATTTCCGCGAGTGTGTCCGTAACCTTGAGGTTGAGGATATCAACTTCAAAGGCCTCTTCTTTACCTGGTCTAAGAACCCYAATGGCACGGGAGGTCTCCTCAAGAAGATCGATCGTGTCTTAGGGAAYTCCCTGTCCCTTGCTCATTTCYCTTCGGCTTCTGTCATCTTTCTTCCTTACCGGTCTTCGGACCATTGCCCTGCGGTCCTTACCCTTCCCTCCCGGTCCCCTTGGAAGCCTAAACCTTTCAAGTTCCCTAATTTTCTTGCTCATAAAGAGGCTTTCAACTCTGTCGTTGCCTCGAGCTGGAGTCCTGACCTGTCTGGTTATGAGATGTATAAGGTTTTCCTAAACCTTAAAAATCTCAAAGGCCCTATCCGTAAGTTCCTCAAAGATCAGGGTAACCTGTTCTCCAATGTCTCTAGAATCCGGCTTGAGCTCGACAGGGTCCAGATTGCCCTTGATAGGGACCCTGAAAACGTGGACCTCCGAGAGGAGCACTGTGGGTATTTATCTGCCTATAATAGTGCCTGCCTTGATGAGGAAAGGTTCCTGAAGCAAAAAGCCAAAATCCAATGGCTCCGTGAGGGAGATAAAAACTCTGCTTTCTTCCATAAATCTGTCAAGAGCCGTATCAGCCGGAATAATATTGACACCATCCAAAATGCTGATGGTATCTGGATCCCTAATGTTGAGGTTCCTGATCTTTTTGTCTCCCACTTCTAGAATTTCCTTGGGACCCCTCATCTTTCTCTCCCCATCCGTGATCCCGCTTTTCTTTTTTCTAATAAGCTGAATGCCAATCAGGCTGCCTCGATGCTCGTGCCCATTTCCGACTCCGAGATAAAGCAGGCCCTCTTCCAGATTGGTGATGACAAGGCGCCCGGTCCTGATGGGTTCACTGCTAAGTTTTTCAAGGCTGCTTGGGATATCGTTGGCATGGACCTGTGCTCTGCCGTTCGTGAGTTCTTCACGTCTGGTAAGCTCCTTAAGTCTATAAATAGCACTATTCTTGCTCTCATTCCTAAGTCTGCTGCCCCGTCTCGGGTCACCGACTTCCGCCCCATTGCTTGTTGTAATGTCGTGTATAAAATCATTAGCAAGCTTATCGCGGATCGGATCAAAGATCATCTTTCCTCCCTGGTTGATGTTAACCGGTCTGCGTTCATCCCGGGTCGGCTCATCACGGACAATGTCCTTCTCGTCCAGGAGCTCATGCGTGGCTATCATAAGCATCCGGGCCCTCCCCGTTGTGCCATCAAGGTTGACATCCAAAAGGCTTATGATACTGTCGATTGGCATTTCCTCCGTACCGCTCTCTTCGGTTATGGCTTCCCCCTTCCCATGATAAACTGGATTATGACATGTGTTTCCACTGCATCGTACTCGGTCAGTATTAATGGAAACCTCCATGGCTATTTCAAGGGAGGCCATGGCTTGAGGCAGGGTGACCCTCTTTCCCCCTATCTTTTTACCCTGGTTATGGAGGTTCTCAACCTAATGACCAAAAGAAAAATTAATGAGACTGGCATTTTTTCCTATCACCGGAACTGTGAGGAGCTAAAGATCACCCACCTGTGTTTTGCTGATGAWCTCCTCATATTCTGCCATGGTGATAGTGACTCTGTCCGTGTCATAAAGGATTCCTTTGACGAGTTCTCTGGTGTGTCTGGCCTTCTCCCCAATCCGGCCAAGAGCGAGGTTTTCTATTGCAATGTTGGCCCGATCACTAAGAGTGCTATTCAGTCGATCATCCGGTTCCCAGAGGGCTCTCTCCCGGTCCGTTACCTGGGTGTCCCCCTCATCACGACTCGTCTCTTTCATCAGGATTGCAAGGGTCTTGTGGACAAAGTGAAGTCCAAACTCCTTGATTGGAAAAACAAATCCCTCTCGTTTGCCGGTAGACTGCAGCTCATTCTCTCGGTCTTGTCCTCCATGCAAATTTACTGGGCCTCGATCTTTATGCTTCCTATGTCCATATCTAAGGAGATTGAGCAGCTTATGCGGGGTTTCTTGTGGTGCCACGGTGAGCTCAAAAGAGGGAAAGTGAAGGTCTCCTGGAAGACCGTCTGCCTCCCGAAAACTCAAGGCGGTCTTGGAATTAAGAGCCTGTCCACCTGGAACTGTGCCCTCATGGCCTCTCATWCTTGGAGAATCCTTACCATCAAGGATTCTCTATGGGTTAAATGGATCCACTCCTACAGGCTTAAAGAGCGTAACTTCTGGGATGTCCCCATCCGTAGTGATGTTG